GTTGAGCTATAGGCGCCGAGCCAGCAATTCAGTTTTAGAGTATCCCCTTGGCCAAGAGGGAGTTGTGTGTGTGGCTGGGGGAGCAGCGCTAAGATTTTATTTTAGTTCACAAAGGGAAAGAAGGAAAAAACCTGGAAGTTTCTCCTAACTTAGCTTGTCCCTTCTAGGGCGCTCAAGGATACCTCTCAGAGTTCCTTCTCAGCCTCCCGAAGTAAAGGGGATTCGCAGGAATCCAAGGAGGCTTTGCTCCTTGGCAGGTGGTAGGACCGAGACCCTAGCCTGCCAAGAACTAAGACCCTCCTCACAACTTCCTTCCGGGCGGGGCGGAGGAGATGGGATGGGTGGGAGCGGGGCGGGTCCTCGGAACAGCCAATCACCTTCCTTCCCCGCCCCTTCCCCGCCCCCGACCTCATTCCACCAACGAGGCGCCGCGGTGGGCGGAGCAAGTCACGGCTGCTGTCCTGGGTGCGGTTTTTTTTTCCCCTTTCTCCCCCCCCCACCCTTTCCTCTTTTTGTGAATGAAAAAAAGGAGGTCGCGAGCGGTCCCCGGGACTGCAGCGCCAGGCGTCTTCGCGGCCGCGCCTTTGCCGCGGGCCAGGCGCGTAGCGGCGGCGGCCTCGCCCCTCTGCTCGCACTCCCGAGCGCCTCCCGCAGCCTTTGCAGCCGGAGCCCCCGCGGCGGGCGGCGAGGCCCAGGCGCCAGAGGTCGGGGCGGCAGCGCGCAGCCCGGCCCCGGCGCGCCTCCGTGACATTGGGCGCCCGGGGCGCGGGGAGATGCTGATCCGGAAGAGGCAGCGGCTGCAGTGCAGCGCTCGCGGCAGCTCCCAGCCCGCCGTCCGGCCTGGGCTGCTGGAGCAGAGTTTCTGATCCAACGCGACCCGGCCCGGAGACTGAAGCCCCAGAGGCAGCGCGGCGGCGCCGGCAGCGTCCTAACTTGCACGCGCAGAGGGACTCCAGACATTTCACTAAAATGAACGTGCTTAGCAGGAAGAGATGTGTTCCTTACGCTAGAAATCACCCCGTCACATGTAGTGGTGTAAGTAAACGACGGATTTCTGTTATGGCCGGGTTCCGAGCAGCCTCTGCAAACGCGCCACTGCGCCCTTCGGGGCCCTGTCGGCGCCCCTCTTGGCTCCCCCTCGGCTCCCGCTCTTCTGTGGCTTCGGCTCCTGGTTCTGAGGGGCGGGGTACTAACCTTTTCTGGGTTTTCCTAGAGAAGGGAAGATAACTTGATTGCCTTGGCGTGTCGTGCCCCTCCCCCTTCCTTATTATTATTTTTTTTTCTGAGTGCCACCGATGGGCTTTAACACATTTTGCCGCGAGTCTCAGCCGGTGGGTCGCCGCGAAAGAATGAGCTCTTCCTCTTTTCTATTTTTATTTCTGTATTTTGTGTGTGCAGAGCGGCGTATCCGAAAAAAACGGTCCATAGTAGTGAAAGTGTTTCCGCTTTTAAAAAAAAAAAAGAGGCAGGGGAATTTGAACGTTTTGCTCACCGTTCTGGAGATATTTCTTTGAACTCAACTCCATTGCAATCTGTGCAACTGAGTTCTGGCAAACTATGGGGGAAAATCCTTAATGGTGTTTATTGATGTTCCCACATTTTACGTTTGAGAAGGCTTATCCTCTGTTAAGGCTTGCATTTTTGTTAATATGACCATTCAGGATCCCTTTGGGCCTTGCTGTCCGTTGAATCTGTGGGGACCAGTGCCTCTGCCATCCCCCATGTTACAGTATCAGCGACCCCAGTGGGAGCCTCTTTTAATCGGAGTCCACCCTTTCTTTGTCTGTCCTCTTTCTGATTTTACCTTCCTACCTCCTCTCCTTGTTTTTTATCTTCATTTTCAGGATTTTCCTCCCTTTTAGCATTTTGTAAGATGCAGGATGTGGAATATTGGTTGCTAGGAGACAAGCCAGGCTCCCAGGGAGATTCTGTTGTTTCCTTGACAACCAGACTAGGGCAGCCACAGATGAACAAGCCTCCTATCAGCTGTGGGAGGGAAAGGGGGCCTTTTCAGAGCTCTGCAAAGAGTGTGTGTAGGGGTGTGGAGGTGGTAATCGGAGTTGTTTGCAGCTAATCTGAGCACACCTTGGGTTTTGGCCTGGACTTAATACAGAGAGCTGAGAGAGCAGTGGGCAGGAGGATGTTTTTGGAGATGGGGACAGGGGTGTGGGGACATGCATCAGTGACTTTGGGATTACTGTGGGCGAGGAGTGAATTGAGGATTGTGATACCCAGAGCAGGGTGGCAAGGAAGCCATAGTTTATGGAGGTTAGTTAGAATGGGAATGAGGCAGTTGTGAGGAAAAGTCTAGAGTCATTGAAGGAGAGAGTGCCAGGGGAAGTTGAGAAGCTGGCTGAATGGGCTGTCTCATACATCAGCAGTGATACAGTAAAGTAGCAATATTCTTGGGCAGAAATTGTATTACTGTTGGCACACTTTCTCTAGGACAGGATCCTGATTTAAGACAGTCCTCATTAGACTAAGAGTTCTGCTGGCTTAATTGGGCCAGTCTGTATCTTAAAGAGAGATATAATTACACATATAGATATGCAATCTGGCATTATATAATACCATATTACATAAGAAGACAAATGCTCCTTTTAGCCCAGGCTGTCTTGGCATGAATTAAACAAGATCCAGGAGACTTTCTTCCAATGCCTTCATACCCATCTTCCAGAGAGGAAGACTGATGCCCGGGAAGTGAAGCACTTTACCCTTTCCTAGATAGGACATGAAGTTTGCCAGTCAGGGAATTGGGACAGGGTGAAAGGGTGAGAATGATAAAAATGAGGCACTAAAGGACAAGCAGGGGAAGTGGAAGGGGTTGGGGATGGAGGAAGATGTGTGTTCAGCTTGGGTAGTAATCCAGCAGGTCTGGTGTCTAAACTCACTACACAGTGTTTATCCCACTCCTACTTGTCGGTTGCCTGTCCCGTGCTTAACCCTAGAGGTGACTTAACACAAGATGTGCATGATTGTGTCGTAAGTAGCTGACCCTGGACCAGCACTGCTCTGCTGGTGTCCTGGCATCATCTTCACTACTGAGATGCTCCTGGTTTAAGTGCTGACACCCCTCAACCATACCTCATTCCACCCTTCTACCTATAGACCCCCATGCGGTTAGAATCGAAACTTGACAAAGAAGTTCTGTTGGTTAGTGGGGTTTAATCTTTACCCTGCAGCTGTCCGTGTTTTGCATAGGGGATTCTATGTGTTTTGTTATTTACTCAATAAAACAGAAACCACAACCCACATGACTCCTCCCGGGGCCAACACATCCCTCAGCTTGAGACCAGGAACGGTCAAAGTGGGCTTCCCAGTCCTCTACTCAGGAAAGAGAAGAGGGCAGAGGAAGCTGGTGGTTAGAATAACAGTTCCCTGCTGAGGAAGAGGGGGGAGAGAAAGAATGATGCAGACAGTTGCCCTGGAAACCAAGGAGGGAACTACATGGAGACCCCTTGTTGTTAAAGTCCAGATTCTGTAAAATTCCGAGGAGGAGGAGGAGAAGGAGGTTGTCTCATTGAAAAGTCCTTGCCGCACTTTTTTGCTTAGGTTGCCGAGATGCATCCACTTGCGCAAATCCCAGTTGCTATCGTTACTTGGATATTTCGGTTCTGCATTCCTGCATGCTGGCATCCAGTTACACAGCGCGGCAGGAATGGAGCCTCTCTGCTGCTGCTGGTGGCCTGGCTCTCAGGCTGCGTGCCTCAGCAGCCAGGTTGCCCAGGCAGCCTCCAGGACTCCTGAATTCAACCATCCTTGGCCTAGGAGGGATGGCTCTGGGTTGCTCTAGCCCTCTGACAACTTTTCATGCACACAGGGAATGTGAGCAGGGTGGGCTGATGGCCCTGGAGAAACCAGGCTTCCTAATAACCCCTGCCCTGCGCATCTCTGGACTCCACCCGGAGGGGAATGCCAACTGGAGGCTGCTAGTGAAAGCCCCCTGGAGCCCAGGGCCTCCTGGTGACAGCTTTTTAAACACTGACATGACATTTTGACTACAGAAGGGCCTTCTGTTTGTTTATTCAATCCGTCCCTCTCTGGTGGGCTTGGTACTTCTCTCTGCTCAACACTGAAGGCAACTAAGGCAAGCTTTTGCACAAAAATTCAGACTGAGCTTTCTGATCCTCTGTTTACCGTGACAACCCCATCACCCATGGGTAGCCAGTTTAGTGGGCGTCTCTGGGGAGTTCCAGCTGTCTGGGGTCTTCCAGCCTGAGACTCCTCCCTTGGAATGGGAAAGGCAGAAGAGGGTGGATCTCACTTTGTCTGAGGCTGGCTGCAGGATGCAGGGAGGATGATACTGTTGCAGGCCAGTGGTTACACCACCACCCTCAAAGCCGAGCCCTGGCTGAGCAAGACAGCAGAGGAGGGGAGGACCAGCTCTGTCAGGTGCATCTGGGAGGAAGAATGGTGGCATCTGCCTAAAGGGTTGGGGTCTTGGTTTGACAGGCTGGGGCTTGGAAATGTGCCACCAGAGAGGGCCAGGGGAAGGGGTGGAGGCCAGGAGAGCTGCTGCTTAGCTCTGACAGGTCTATTAAATTTTAAAGTGGCCCTGCCCTCAGGCCTGCTGGGAAGGGGTGGGGACCTGGAGACTCTGCTTCTCTCAGCTGTTTGTTGTTCTGCTGCCACTGCCCTGCTGGGGAGGTAGGAGGAGAGTGATGATGAGTGAGCTGCCCAGGCAGCCTCTTCTCTCTCTGGAGAGTGGGGACAGGGCAGGCCCTGGGCAGGCTCTGCCTGGGAGCTCTCAAAGGTCTCCTCCATTCACACGCCCAGTTGGATGGCCCATATGGTGGCACCGCTTCTCTCAGCCTGACTGGGCTCCTGACTCCTCCGGCTCTTCTGGAGCTCCCGACCACAGCATTGCCCACTCCCTTCTCCTCCTGCCAGCCCTGTGGAGGAGAGCTGTGGGTGCTAGTCCCGGCCCGCGGGGAGCTGGCATGCCAAGCCATCCTGAGCGCTTCCCTCTTCTTCCTCAGGTCCCATTTAATGGATTCTGACATGGATTATGAAAGGCCAAACGTAGAGACCATCAAGTGCGTTGTGGTGGGGGACAACGCCGTGGGCAAGACCAGGCTCATCTGTGCCCGTGCCTGCAATGCCACCCTCACCCAGTACCAGCTGCTGGCTACCCACGTGCCCACAGTGTGGGCCATCGACCAGTACCGCGTGTGCCAGGAGGTAAGGCTGGGGGTCCAGCCATACATCTGGATATGGGGGCTTCTTCCCAAGGTGTAGCTTGGGGTCTCTGGGGCTCATGGAGACCCCTGGGGTGGGATGGGGGCAGCTGAAGAGGAAGGAGCTGCTGGAGAGAGGTCTGAGGTGAGCCCACCTGGGGGAGATGTCTCTGGTGTGACTGCTATTTTGTTTTCGCTGGCTGAGCTGGTGTCTGGGACTCAGCTAAGTCTTGAGTACTGCATCTCGTGCAATCTGAGCCCAGGTAACACGGAGCGGTGCAGGGCTGGGGCTTGGGGGAGATGAGAGCAGAGTGGGAAAGGAAGCTGGCAACGAATACCAAAAGTCCAGGGTCTCATAAACATCCAGTCTGCAGAGAAAGCTGGGAACAAGGGTAGGTTCCAAGAGCGGTCCCTTCTATCCCATAACCGTCTGCTGTTAGGGTCTCTCCCAATTCTGGTCAGCTCAGGAGCAGCCCTTGTTGATTCCACATATTTCCTGCGGGTGAGAATCTTTTGCAAGGCACACAGTGGGCTGCCATGAGAGGGTCCCAAGAACTGTTGCCCTTGATTCTCCAGGTGCTGGAACGCTCCCGAGACGTGGTAGATGATGTCAGTGTCTCCCTGCGCCTCTGGGACACCTTTGGGGACCACCATAAAGACCGTCGCTTTGCTTATGGGAGGTAGGGAAGGCTCTGGCTTCCAGCAGGGGACCAAGTGGGTGGGTTTTTCCTGCTTTCCCAAGGAACTGAGCAACCCTGTGAAATTTTATCGGGAAGGAAGGAGTGGAGGAAACCGCTCTGGCAGACCCTTGCAGGGGGCGGGGGCAGCCTGGGCGGTGAAAGGAGCCAGGGCTCCATGCCAGGAGGCCTGGTTTGAGTCCCAGCTCTGCCGCCTAGTAGCTCTGAGATGATTTTTCTCAGCTGTGAGATGGTAAAAATGGTAATTTCTAACTCACAAGTTAGCTGTGAATCCAAAACAAGCCTTTGAGCTCTAAAAGGCTGCATAAACTGCAGGTACTATTATTATACGTTTTATGTGAAAGCACATGAGGAGATACCTAAGCCAGTGGGGAGGTTAGGGGTATGCATGCATGCTGTCCCTCATTCCAGGGACAGCTGACCTACCTCCAGCCTTCTCTGCCCATAATCTTACTCTCCCTCCCCCAGATCTGATGTGGTAGTTCTCTGCTTCTCCATTGCCAACCCCAATTCCCTCCACCATGTCAAGACCATGTGGTACCCAGAAATCAAGCACTTCTGCCCCCGAGCACCTGTCATCTTGGTGGGCTGCCAGCTGGACCTGCGCTATGCCGACCTGGAGGCCGTCAATAGGGCCAGACGACCCTTGGCTAGGTAAGGGGTGCTGGTGCCTAGGGAGGGGCTCTCCCAATTGGAGCACGGTCATGACAGGAGCCGACAGGCATGCTCCTTCCTTCATTCATGTATCTGCACACCTACTATGTGGGCAGTACTATGCTAAAGCACCATGAGGAAAGACAGGGAGGAGGAAATGAAAGGGGCTTGTAATTTTGCTGGGAGATAAATTAAATATATGAACAGGTTAAATACCAATGTGAACCACTGCGTGGTAATTGCCAGAGAGTTCGGTCACTGCTTTGAACTGGAGAGGTCACTAGGGGCCTGGCATACATAGAGAAGCCTTCCTGGAAGAAGAGGGGGTTGGAGGTGGAGCTTAAAGGAGCTTGATGGGATCTGACCAGATGGAGGAGAAAGAGCAGGGTAGGGGTGGGGCTGAGGGTGTGGATCCTGAGCAGAGTCCCTCCAGCTGGCGGAGAAACAGGGAGCCCCTCCACCACCAACACAACCCTTCCTGAATCCACCAGGCCCATCAAGCCCAACGAGATTCTTCCCCCAGAGAAGGGTCGAGAGGTGGCCAAGGAACTGGGCATCCCCTACTATGAGACCAGCGTGGTGGCCCAGTTTGGCATCAAGGACGTGTTTGACAATGCCATCCGGGCCGCACTCATCTCCCGCCGTCACCTGCAGTTCTGGAAGTCCCATCTCCGCAATGTGCAGCGGCCTCTGCTGCAGGCGCCCTTTCTGCCCCCCAAGCCACCGCCCCCCATCATTGTGGTGCCCGACCCCCCTTCCAGCAGCGAGGAGTGCCCCGCCCACCTCCTGGAGGATCCGCTCTGCGCGGACGTCATCCTGGTGCTGCAGGAGCGGGTGCGCATCTTTGCCCACAAGATCTACCTCTCCACCTCCTCCTCCAAGTTCTACGACCTGTTCCTCATGGACCTGAGTGAGGGGGAGCTGGGGGGCCCCTCGGGGCCAGGGGGCGCCCGCCCAGAGGACCACCAGGGCCACCCTGATCAACACAACCACCATCACCACCATCACCACCATGGGCGGGACTTTCTGCTTCGGGCAGCCAGCTTTGACGTGTGTGAGAGCGTGGACGAGACCGGAGGCTCTGGCCCTGCTGGCCTCCGAGCCTCAACCAGCGATGGGATCTTACGGGGCAACGGAACAGGGTATCTGCCGGGCAGGGGTCGTGTGCTATCTTCCTGGAGCCGAGCTTTTGTGAGCATCCAGGAAGAGATGGCAGAAGATCCCCTGACCTACAAATCCCGGCTGATGGTGGTGGTAAAGATGGATAACTCCATCCAGCCGGGGCCCTTCCGGGCTGTTCTCAAGTACCTGTACACCGGGGAGCTGGACGAGAATGAGCGGGACCTCATGCACATTGCCCATATTGCTGAGCTGCTGGAGGTCTTTGATCTGCGCATGATGGTGGCCAATATTCTCAACAATGAGGCCTTCATGAATCAGGAGATCACCAAGGCCTTCCATGTCCGTCGAACCAACCGGGTTAAGGAGTGCTTGGCAAAAGGCACATTCTCAGGTATGGAACATGCTTAGCCCAGCTTTCTGAAGAGTCTGGGTGGGTCCTGTTAGCATTCTGAGTTGCTCTAAGCCCTGACGTCCAGGAGATACGGCTGCCCTGCTCCTAAAGCCTGGTCTCCCCATGCCGAGAGCCTGGTTGTTTAGTGGCTTCAGAAGGAAGTAGGGCTGCCTGGGCTCCCTCACTACCCTTGGGGCCGGCTAGCCCATGTTCTTTCACTTCATCCTCCTGTGATTCCTCTTCTCCTCCTGGACAGATGTGACCTTCATCCTGGATGATGGCGCCATCAGCGCCCACAAGCCCTTGCTGATTTCCAGCTGTGACTGGATGGCTGCCATGTTTGGGGGGCCGTTTGTGGAGAGTTCCACCCGGGAGGTGAGGATGAGGATGGAAAGGGAGCGGGGAGGAGAAAGAAATTACACCCTCTGCATCTGAGGCACCCACTGTTTGAATGTACATCTTTCAGCCGTGACTATGTGCTGGGCCCAACAGAAGGTTATGAAGTGGTTTCTAGAACTTTTACAACACACCAGGAAAGGGAATTATAGGAAGTTCTTAACTTGAGAGTGTAGAAAGCACTTTCAACACATTATCTTGTTTAACTCACATATGACTCTTACACGTAGTGTAGCATTCTCATGGTATACCTAGGAAAAGGAGGCCCTGAAAAGTTAAGTGACTCATTAAAAAATTGTGCAAGTAGGCTCAGAGCCTGCAGCTCAAGCGGCTAAGGCGCCAGCCACATACACCAGAGCTGGAGAGTTCCAATCCAGCCCAGGCCTGCCAAACAACAATGACAACCACAACCAAAAAATAGCCAGGCGCTGTGGCAGGCACCTGTAGTCCCAGCTACTTGGGAGGCTGAGGCAAGAAAATCACTTAAGCCCAGGAGTTGGAGGTTGCTGTGAGCTGTGACGCCATGGCACTCTACCCAGGGCGACAGCTTGAGGCTCTGTCTCAAAAAAAAAAAAAAAAAAAAAAAAGGGCTGTGCCTATTGCTCAAAGGAGTAGGGCGCCAGCCCCATATGCTGGAGGTGGCAAGTTCAAACCCAGCCCCAGCCAAAAACTGCAAAAAAAAAAAAAAAAAAGAAAGAAAAAATAATAATAAAATTGTGTAAATAGAAAGCAGAGGTTAGGATTTGAACTCAGGCCTTTGATTCCTTAGCTTTTTTCATTGTACCTTGTTGCCTCCCCAACTTGAAACAACTAGAAAAATTTCGGTATGTCCCAGGCGGAATCTGTCACTGTTCTAAAAGGTAGGTTTTGTTGTTATTGAGGTATAGTGAGGCCAACAGATCAGAACATACCTATCATTGAGAAGATGGTTTATTACTCACAGATCCCAGGAAGAGGAGGCCATCCACACCACCATGAGGGGGCCTCACGGAGAAGCACCAGGGTCAGTCAGGAGGCAGAGGATTTCTGTGAGAAGGAATGGGTGAGACAGGGTGGGCAGGCTTAGGATTGGCTGGTTTGGATAATTTAAACAGGCTCTGGGGTATAGGAAGTATCTCTGATTGTCTGGAGCCTGGCTCTGGGAGGATGAAGGCAGGGGAATACTAGGCTGTGTGGGCTCTGGTTGGTTAGTTTGCATGTGAAAAGCAAGCTTGCAGCCAACTCCTTTACCATCTCTAGGAACTGGCTAGCCCTGGGAGAGGGAGTCGTCTAGGCCAAAAGGCTCTAGATATCAAAGCACCAAAATACAGAAAATAACACCCCTCTCGCTTGTCTGTTCCCTCATTAATACCACGACTTACTCTGGCTGGAAACAGGGCTGGAAGGGGCCTATCGCTGCGTCCTTAGAAATATTCTCTTAAGTCTGCTCTCTTTTCCCTTCTCTCTGACAAGCAAACCAGGCAATGGTCCTTATTGTTCTCCATCTTCTCTGAATGCCTGGAACATTAACTGCCCATCACTCGGTCTCCTGGTGAATGGGGTACTATTTTGTGCAGATGCTTAAAGTTCTGACTGTCCACACACTGTTCCTATAATTGCTCTGAGTGCAGGGACATCCAGGTTACTTCTGCCAAGTATCCCCCTCCATGCCTGTCTCTTAGTAAGCGCTCACCAAATAATTGAATGAAAACGTGAACCAAGAATAATGCTGCATCACATCCCATGATGCAGACTGTGACTTTCACAAGGCTTCTGGGAAGGAAGCCCTCTGGAAGGCTAAGTGGAAGGGCTGAGATTTGAGTTGGTCTCTGAAGTGGGAGTAGGATTTGGATGTACAAAGTGTGAGGTTAGGATCTCTTAGAAGCCCCTAGGGCTTACCAGCCCTGAGCACTTCTCAGTGCCAGAGATGCCAGCCTTAAAGTGCTAGCTGAGTCCCAATGCAGCCTGGAGGGACTCACACCTGATGAGAAAGCAGTTTTTGTTGCAGCGCTGAGCTGACAAGATCCCAGAGGCCCCAAGCAGTGGCTTTGAGCAGCCAGAGAGAAGTCAGCTGGTGTTCACTTTGCTCATTCTGGGTCTCACTTCTCCTGCTCCCTGCAGGGCCAGGAAGGGCTGGAGTGTAGGTTGAGGGACCTAAGGGACTCTTTGCAGTATCCTTGAAGCCACAGCAGCTTCCAAAGAATGTCAGCAAGTATTCAAGTCCTTTTAAAAGTTCCTGGAGCTGTTCCCTGGTGCTGTTAGCAATTTGGGGCTGAGTGCAGGGCGCTGCTCTGAGGGCCAGGCCTTGGTCTTCTCAGGAGATGGAGGTGCAGCCCAGGAGGGCTGCCTGCCTTGGGGAGACCAGCTGTGTGGCCAGGGCCTTTTCACTCTCAGCCTGAGTTCTTTCCCTGAGCTGGTCTTCACTGCGTGTGCTCCCTCCTTCCCACCCTAGGTGGTGTTTCCTCACACAAGCAGGAGCTGCATGAGGGCAGTGCTGGAATACCTCTACACCGGCACGTTCACCTCCAGTCCTGACCTGGACGACATGAAGCTCATCATCCTGGCCAACCGCCTCTGCCTGCCGCACCTGGTGGCCCTCACAGGTAACTAAGCACAGCGCGCTCAGGTCCTCCCCTGGGGAAGGAGTCAGGGAGACCCTGAGGAGTGATTCTGTGTTCTTCTCCTCTCTCTCTCCTCCTGGGGGACAGGCTGTAGCAGCAAGGGAATAAACTTACATAAAACGAAATCTGTCAACAGGTGCAGAGTCTGGGATGAGGATATAGTGTGGAGAAGTGTGTGTGACAGATGGCTCATGGGGTCGCCTGAGAGGCTATCTCTAAAGGCCCGGCAAAGTGGTCTGCAGTAGATGACAGCGCTTCATGTTCTGAACTTGGCTCTCCTTGGGCAGGCTTCAGATGTCAAAAAAGAATAGAACACTGGGGCGGCGCCTGGGGCTCAAGGGAGTAGGCGCTGGCCTCATGCTGGAGGTGGCAGGTTCAATCCCAGCCCCAGCCACAAATGGCAAAAAAAAAAAAAAAAAAAAGAACACAAGTTCACGTTTCTCTCCTCTTCTTTTAACCAATAGTTAAAAGCCTCCTTACTTTTTTTTTCTTTTCCCTTTTCTTCTTCTACTTTTGACTTCTCTTCTTTTTCTAAAAATAGAAAGCAAATATTGACTTGCCACTCCTAATTCTCCAATCCCAGAGGCCCTCTGGGGAAGGCAATAGGAAAACCAAGTGACAGCAGCCCAAAGGCCTGGGGAAGAGAAATGATGCTCTTGGGGTCAGGGGAGTCTGGGGCCAGTGACCCAGGCCAGCAGATGGCAGCTGTTCACGTTGGAGCTGGTATTTGCACTGCTGTTGGGGTTGACATCTGCGTCGTTTTGGATGTTGGCATCAGTACCAGTGATGGTATGGATGTCTAGGTTAATATTGTTGGGCATGTCAGAGGGGAAAGCAGCAGATCCTCAGATACTATTGCAGTTCAGGGAAGGCCCCGTCAGAGCTACTGGAGCCCTGGGAAGATGATCAAGACTGGGGCTCAAGTTTGAGGGACAGTGGCAACCTCATGAAAGGAAATGAATTATAGGGGGGTAGGGCTTGGTCACAGGAAGAAGGTAGAAATCACTGATCAGAACAATATTAAGAACTGAGCATGCAGGGTGGCGCCTGTGGCTCAGTGAGTAGGGTGCCGGCCCCGTATACCGAGGGTGGCAGGTTCAAACCCGGCCCCAGCCAAACTGCAACAAAAAAATAGCCAGGTGTTGTGGAGGGTACCTGTAGTCCCAGTTATTCAGGAGGCTGAGGTAAGAGAATCGCTTAAGCTTAAGAGCTGGAGGTTGCTGTGAGCTGTGATGCCATGGAGGCATCTATGGAGGGCGACAAAGTGAAACTTTGTCTCTAAAAAAAAAAAAAAAAGAGCTGAGCATGCATAGGTAGTCCAGGGCCCCCAGCTGGCTGCAAAGGAGATTCTTGCGCAGGGAGAAAGAGAGGCTTCCAAAGATGAGAGCTGTAACAGTATGTTGTCATTCGCTATCTCTGAAAAATGGTGTAGCCTTCCCAGAGCACATAACACTTCAGATTCTTAGCTGGAATAATTCCACTTTTAAAAGATTATCTTCAAAGAAATGGGCCACAAGGGAAAAAATGCATAATGCTGTAAGTTCATTTCATCACGGATGGCACAGATTGGAAACAACTCACAGCAGAACCATTGGCTAAGCACACATAGGTAATGTTCACCTGGTAGTCATCAGAAGTGTTAAACTGCACTGCTGCATGGAAAGGTTTACAGAAAATGCTGTCGAAGTATATTTCTCATGAAATAGTTCGTGCAGGCTCGGCACCTGTGGCTCAACCGGCTAAGGCGCCAGCCACGTACACCTAAGGTGGTGGGTTCAAATCTCCAGCCCGGACCCGCCAAACAATAATGATGGCTGCAACCAAAAAATGGCCGGGCGTTGTGGTGGGCGCCTGTGGTCCCAGCTACTTGGGAGGCGGAGGCAGGAGACTCGCTTGAGCCCAGGAGTTGGAGGTTGCTGTGAGCTGTAATGCCACAGCACTCTACCCAGGGCGACAGCTTGAGGCTCTGTCTCAAAAAAAAAAAAAAAAAATAGTCCGTGCACACTAGAAAACATATACAAAAATGTATACACTACTACCTGGATAAGGATCAGCGGAAGAGGCCAAGTTTTATATAATTAGTGATACTTGAAGTTTTGTGAGCTATGCTTCCTATAAAGCTGCTAATTCAAGTTGAAAACTTTTTATTCTTTTGAGATAGAGTCTCAAGCTATAGCCTTGGGTAAAGTGCTGTGATGTCACAGCTCACGACACCCTCCAACTCTGGCTCAAGCGATCCTCTTGCCTCAGTTTTTCTTTCTTTTTTTAGACAGAGTTTCACTATGTCACCCTCAGTAGAGTGCTGTGACATCACAGGTCATGGCAACCTTGGGCTTAAGTGATTCTCTTGCTTTAGCCGCCCAAGTAACTGGGACCCACTACAATGCCCAGCTATTTTTTGGTTGTAGGTGTCATTGTTGTTTGGCAGGCCCAGGCTGGGTTCGAAGCCCACCAGCTCCAGTGTATGTGGCTGATGCCCTGACCACTGAGCTACAGGCCCAGTTTTTCTATTTTTAGTAGAGATGGGGTCTCACTTTTGCTCAGGCTGGTCTTGAACTCTTCAGCTCAAGCAATCCACCCACCTCGGCCTCTCAGAGTGCTAGGATTACAGGTATGAGCCACCACACCTGGCCCAAACTTAAAACTTTGTAATGTTAACTATAACACAAATACATAAAAGAAACATATATTCAGTTTAATGAATTATTATAAAGTAGAATGCCTTTTAATTTATTTTTTATTTTATTTATTTACTTTTATTTATTTTGAGACAGAGTCTCACTATGTCGCCCTTGGTAGAGTGCAGTGATGTCACAGCTTACAGCAACCTCCAACTCTTGGGCTGAAGCAATTCTCTTGCCTCAGCCTCCCAAGTATCTGGGACTACAGGTGCCTACCACAACACCCAGCTATTTTTTGCTGCAGTTGTCATTGTTGTTTAGCTGGCCCAAGCCAGGTTTGGACCCGCCACCCTTGGTGTATATGGCTGACCCTATAACCACTGTGCTACGGGCGCCTAGCCTTTATTAAATTTTTTTTTAAGACAGAGTCTCACTATGTTGCCCTCAGTAGCATGCTGTGATGTCACACTCACAGCAACCTCAAACTCTTGGGATTAAGCAATTCTCTTGCCTCACCTTCCCAAGTAGCTAGGAGTATAGGCACCAGCTACAAAACCTGGCTTTTTTTGTTGTAATTGTTATTATTGTTTGGCAGGTCCAGGCTAGGTTTGAACCTGTCAGCCCTGGTGTATGTGGCCAGTGCCCTAGCTACTGAGCTACAGGCGCCAAACCTATTTATTTAATTTTTTGAGAAAGACTCTCACTTTGTCGCCCTTGGCAGAGTGCCATGGCATCATATCTCACAGCAACCTCAAACTCTTGGGCTCAAGCAATCCTTTTGTCTCAGTTTTTCATTTTTAGTAGAGATGGGGTCTCACTCTAGCTCAGGCTGGTCTTGAACTCATGAGCTCAGGCAATCCACCACTTCAGTCTCCCAGAGTGCTAGGATTACAAGTGTGAGCCACCACACCTGGCCTTGGTCTTGAACTCTTGAACTCTTGAACTCTTGAGCTCCAGGGATCCACCAGCCTCGGCCTCCCAGAGTGCTAGGATTACAAGTGTGAGCCACCACTCCCAGCCTAGCATACTTCTGAGAAGACAGACATTTCCTCTCATCCACTGATAGGTTACCCAGTGTTAAAGTTCATATAGGAAAGGCAGACGGGTAAATACTCAATTATTTCTTTCTTTTTAACCAGTTATCAAGATAAATTTGTTTTCTCTCATCCTTTGAAGGTGACCCATTGCACTGAATTTTTTGTTTTTGCATTGAGTTTTTAACATGGTATTATAAACTCTTCCATTTGAACATACTTGGTTGGTTTTAATTAATTGCACTTATCGTTATTGAAGCTCAAATACTGTACTCTTGGCCAGTCGGAGTCTCTGCAGATTGGCCCCAGTCTTTGTGCTTCCTTGCTCTCTGGAATGATGCGATGTTCTAGGATATGTTTGTATATTTCATGCTCCAGACCTAAAAATCAGCTATTTTTCCAAGAAGTCCTGGTTTTGTTTTGTTTTTTTTTTTTTTGAGACAGAGCCTCAAGCTATTGCCCTGGGTAGAGTGCTGTGGCATCACAGCTCACAGCAACCTCCAACTCCTGGGCTCAAGCGAGTCTCCTGCCTCAGCCTCCCAAGTAGCTGGGATCACAGGCGCCCGCCACAACGCCCGGCTATTTTTTGGTTGCAGCCGTCATTGTTGTTTGGCCGGCCTGGGCTGGATTCGAACCCACCACCTTAGGTGTATGTGGCTGGCACCTTAGCCACTTGAGCCACAGGTGCCGAGCCTCCTGGTTTCGTTTAGTTAGAAATGGAAATGGTATTTCTGTGTACTAGGAATGCTCACTGCTACTGGAATGATTATTGTTTTAGGTCTCTTCCATGGACAGAGGTGGGATGCATACACCTTCTGCATGAGTTTACATTAATATTTCTAATTGAGCTTCAGATCCAGTGGTATTTACTTCTTTGATATGTATGTTATAACATAAAATGCAAGGTTGGTACACAATTGTTACAAAATTTAGATTAAAACAAACGAGGTTTAACCCTGAATTAAACTCAGTTCTTAGCCTTTTTTTCTGCTTAACAAATCAGTGGCTGATTCTACTGGGGACTTCCCCTACATATATCAGACTCTGTGATGGGACACATGTAGTTTGAAAAATGCTCTTAGCACTCACACCCCACTGAGAAAGTCTTGCTCCCATCCTGATTTCCCACTGGCGGGACCAGACTTAAATCATGTGGCCTTTCCTGGCCTGCTGGGACTTGCCTCTGGCCCCGATTTCCTTTGTCCTGCAGTGAGCTCCTGCTGGGGCTGTGAGTGCAGGCCTGTTCATGTGATTCTTCAGCTGATTGCTGGCTGTGTGTGTCACAGAGCAGTACACAGTGGCTGGGCTGATGGAAGCAACCCAGATGATGGTGGACATCGATGGAGACGTCCTTGTGTTCCTGGAACTGGCTCAGGTATCAGGGGAAGGAATCTTTAGCAGTCTCAACTTGAGGCGCTGTCTCCCATTGACAGCAAATGAGGAGGGCTGAGAGATGGTGGGCCTGAAGGGACCTCGTTATCAGACTCAGATCCCTGACTGGGCAAAGCCCATCTCATCCTTCATGTTGGGAGAACTCCCTGACATACCCAGAGAAGAGCTGGCCCAGGGAGGAAGGGGCTGAGATTTCAAGCAACCACAGGGCTAAGGAGGGAACCCCATTCTCAGGCCTAGACATGGTTGCTGCCTGCATTAGTCATGTGGGGCCACTGAGGACTCTCCATCTGAAATTAACTGCCCAGGCCCTTATCCCAAACAGAAAAGCAAAATCTCCCACATTGGCCCTCGCAGTGGCAGAAATACAGCTGACCAAAGATTTGTTTGCAGAGTTAAAGCATAGCTGATCTAAGGCTGTGGACACCCCTGGGTTCAGAGTCAGCTCCCTGCTCCCACATGTCTGCACCTCAGTGTGGACTGCTTTGGTCCCTGATGGGAAGAGGCAGGAAGTCACGTGGGGTTAAGATGCAAGGAGAGCAGATGTAGTAGGAAGCCGCTACAGAGGGCTTTGGATGTCTGAACCACAGATGCTGTGGCCCAGGGTGTGGGGGCAGCTGTGGGTGTCCACGCAGACCCTCACCCCAGGTCTCAGGACAGATGCTCTCTGTTCTACCTGCAGTTCCACTGTGCGTACCAGCTGGCTGACTGGTGTCTCCATCACATCTGCACCAACTACAACAACGTGTGCCGCAAGTTTCCCCGAGACATGAAGGCCATGTCCCCAGGTGAGGGTCTGGGGCCAGCCCGGGCAGCTCCTGCTGCTCTCTCCTCACGCTCAAAGCACTCAACTTGGGTGCACTACTCAGATTTAACGCTACTTTACTTTGGGGGTGGGAGACCCTGAGAAGAGCCTCCAGTCCAGCAGAGGGAGCCCTAGGAAAAAGCGCTGGCCTAGCGGGCAGCAAGCGCTGCCTCTCTGGGCTTCCATTTCTTAGGAGTAAAGAGAGGCTGTCGGGATACAGTTGGTAGTTTTCAGACTTTTCTGGACAGGACACCACAATAAAAAATACGTTTTATACTGTGACCCAATGCACACAATAGCGAATATATACTTAAAAAGAAAGTGCTGTTCCTATCCACTAAATTGATTGAATAAGCCAGGCATGGTTGCAATCCTCAGCATGAACCATCCAGCTGAACATCCTAGGTCACCTGTGGCTCTGTCTTTTTTAATTATCTTCTCTTCTAAGAGCCTACTGGGAAGCACGGGCTCCAGGGAGAGGTGTCGCTGGCAGCCCTGAGGGGTCTTCACTGGGCTCCCTGCACACCTGGCTTCCATGTGGCTGGGACCCCTTTCCACTCTCCCATTCCATTCTCTCCTCCCTTTCACGTTTGTTACAACCCGTCTAGCATTTTCTTTCCAAAGCACAGGTCCAACTGCACCACTACCCTGGTTCCAATCTGTCTGTGCCTCCCCAGCCCCCCAGAACAAGGCCAGCCTCAGCCCGTGTCCGTCTGTGCCCTGCCCTGACATCCCCTCAGAACCTTCCACTCTCATGCCCTAACCCTGCTGGCTTCCTTCTGGACAACGGCGCTGCTTACCTCTTCTCCCTGATTGTTCATCCTCTGGCCTTCTCTCGGCCTATTTATTCCCTCTTCTAGGTCTCACTTCCATCTTTGAGGAAAACACAAATGGAAAGCCTTTCCCTGGTGCCTGGGGCCTATAGTCACCTGGGCTCCCTAGGCCTCCCCTCCCCGGGGTTTCTCCGGCTTCCTGGGCTGGTCCGGCGGGGCTGGGCGGGGCTGGGCGGAGCCCCGCCCAGGGTCGGGTGATGGGGCGGGGCTGGTGGTCTCTGGGCACTCCCTGTCCTTGCTCCCCTTACCCCCCACCCCGCAACCCCCTCTCTCTAACTGACCCCCACTGTGCTCCACTTCAGAAAACCAGGAGTATTTTGAGAAGCACCGGTGGCCGCCTGTTTGGTACCTGAAGGAGGAAGACCACTACCAGCGGGCCCGGAAGGAGCGTGAGAAGGAGGACTACCTGCACCTGAAACGGCAGCCCAAGCGGCGGTGGCTGTTCTGGAACAGTCCCTCCTCGCAGTCCTCCTCGGCGGCCTCCTCGGCATCTCCATCCTCCTCTTCGGCCGTGGTCTGAGATGCTGCCACCCTCCTCCGATCCTGCTGCTGTTGTCCCCACCGCCCAGCCCCTCCGTCCTTCTGCATCACCCCTCCACCTTACGGGGACAACGGGATCCGCAGGACCCTAAGGGCGATGCTGTCCTCACCAGCCAGAGAGGAGCCCCTCCCTGGGGATCAGAATGGGAACCACCTGCAGAGGTCTCCAGGTCCTCAGCTGGATGGGAGACAATTGCTGGGGGTGGAGCTGGAGCGGAGCTGCAAGCTCTGGCTTATTTTCTCGGGGTCCCAGCATCTTGGAGTCAAAGGGAAAAGCCCCCAGCCTTTAGGGCCTGCTGGATGTCTTGGTCTCTGCTCAGGCCAGGGAGGCAGCTGCCCTCCCCTTGAGCAGAAGTGAGTTGCCAGGGTCCTGCCTCTCTTGGCCATGTCCTTGCCACCAGTGGACTTAACGGTTGTATATGTTTTGTGGGCATTTCCACATAGAAGCTACTCAAATCCTCACTGGAGAAGTCAGGGTAGAAATGAAGCCTTCAGAGCCTGACTCAGGCTTCTACATCCAAGAGGCCACTAGCAGAAAGGCCTGCATCCGGCCTGCATCCCTCCCTCCCAGGGCTGTGGCCGTGCAGGCCTGGTGATAGAGCCAGAGGTTGTGTGGCGCTCCAGGTATGCAAGCCGTGCGTCTTGGTGCACTGAGAAAATTCTCCCTCACCCCTCAGATTTGGAGATGGGAACCACAGGCAACAGCTGGGGTAGGAGAAGAAGTAGTGGGTGGGGTCTGTGGGCACCAATCCTGTGCTCCTCTGGGCCTTTCCTCTGCTTCTGGGTAGCACTGCTTTTTACGGGGTGGGGCAAAATTAGCAAAAAACAAAACCCAAACTGAAAGCGAAACAAAATCACCACCAACAAAACACCCTGTCCTCTGTCCCCTCAAAGAATGAAAACCAGAAAAAGGCCCCATATAGCTTACATTTTTATAAAGCCAAACAGATGCCCCCATGATGAGAAGATGAAGGTTTAGGGTGTAGAATCAACTCCAGTGCCTTTCAGGAAAGGACTTATCACCTTCTCACTCAGGATGCCTGGACCCTGCTGGCTAGCTCTCAGGGCAGCATAGAGTCCTGGCTCTCCATGTTGGGGCTGGTGTCAGGGAGGGGTTTGGTCTCAGGGCTCTTTTGCTCACCTGGAGACTGTGGGCACTCTCACCAGAACCTTGAGCCTCCTGTCCCCTGCCGGCTTTGCTGTGTGTAGAAGTGGGCAGAATAGGAGAGCAGGACTCCCCTGTACTGAAGGGTCACAGAACATACGGAACCTTAATGCTAGTTAAGGAGAAGGAAGAAATGGACAGAAGGAAATGTAAGTTTAGTCTAGAGAGCAGGATGGAACTGAGGGTCTGTTGGGGTTAAAACTGTAGCTCAGCCCCCATGGGGCAGAAGCTGGGCCACAATTGACCCTTTTCTGTTTTCTAACTCTGACCCATATTTTATCACCCCACACTGTTTTTAGATTTAAAAGGTGGGGTCCCCTTGACACAGGGCAGAGCTGGGAGGCTGTGGAGTCAGGGGCTTAGAGCACCAGGAGTCCCTCACCTGAGAAGGATGCTTTGGCTGAGGGGGACCTGGGATACTCATTAGCTCTGGGATAGAGCAGACCCAGAAGCAAAGGCAATCTCTGCGATGGTTGGGTGGTGCCAGGACCTGGAGGTTAATTCTCATCTAGAGCAGGCAGTGGAAGGATAAGCAGGTCTAACAATGAGATGAATCCATGTTGTCTGTGCCCGGGATGCTCCCAGGCTATGACTGCCAGGTGCTCTAGGGTGGCTGGCTGGGAAGCCAGTGGTGGACTGCCCTCTACAGGCTATTCAGCTTTCCTGCAGCTGAGCTCAGTCAGAGCTCAGCCCCAGGCTGAGGATCCCAGGGATGGAGCAAGAGGGAAATTTTAGGCAGGGAGCCCAGTGCAGCAGGCTGCACCTTGCCTCTGCTGAAGGGGGGTGGGGAACAGTATGGATATGCCGGACCCCCAGGAACTCTAGGACCTCAAGGGGAAGGGGGAAATGTTTGTCTCAGGTGCCTGCATAGCTAAACAAGGTGGGTTCACTGATGAGAATGAGGGAGGGCAAATAAAGGTCAGCTGAGGGTTGGGGGAGCCCGCAGAAGAGTAGCTACAGGACTCCCCCAGCAGCCAAGGTCTGCTCACCCCTCAGGGACTTGCTGAACTTCCTGACAGCTCTGCCAGAACCAGTCTGCAGTACTAGGGAGCTCTGCAGCCCAGAGAAACACCCTGGAGCTGTGGGTGAGCCATGCCAGCCTGGTGTCCCTGTGCCCAGAGGGAAGCAAGGCCCAAGTTCCATAAACCTGGCACTTACCCGGGAAATCCAGGGTGTCAGAGGCACCCTGTGTGGGGCGAGCCTGAAGGCACAGATGGGAGGGAAGGAGTGAGTCATAGGGTAAGAACATACCCTGGACTCCTGTCGCCAAGAGCCGCATCAGAGGAGAAGGGGAAGATGGGGGCAAAATCCCCAAACAAATGACAAAAAACACACCTCTTTTTATATAAGGTTTCATATTTAATTTGGTCATGAGTTCATAAATACATGGATATTTTGTATCTAATTGCCTTCTTTGCATTGTGTAATAGCACAGATTCAGATGGAGAACTTCACTGAACAGCAGCAGAAAGAGATACACAATCACTAAGGCAACACCATATTGGCCGGGTGCAGTGGCTCATGCCTGTAATCCTGACCTTTTGGAAGGCTGAGGCTGGTGGATTGCTTGAGCTCAGCAGTTCTCCATCAGCCTGAGCAAGATCTGAGACTCCCTTTCTACTAAAAATAGAAAAATTACCCAGCCATTATGTCAGGTGCCTCTAGTCCCAGCTACTTGAGAGGCTGAGGCAGGAGGATTGCTTGAGCCTAAGAATTTGAGGTTGCTGTGAGCTGTGACGCCACAGCATTCTACCGACAGCAACATAATGAGACTATCTCCAAAAGAAAAAAAAAAAGGAAATGCTATTTTAAACAGTGACTCTCTCCTGTCATACGCTATTTGGTATGGGTATTAAACCAAATCAAACCAACAAAAATATCCCCCAACAATTTCATGCTGTCACAAAGTTGACTTTAAAAGAATAAGTATGAGAGACACAGATAAATCTAATACCGTGTTTCCCTGAAAATAAGACCTACCCAAAAAATAAGCCCTAGCAGGATTTCTATGCATTTGTTAAATATAAGCCCTACTCCATAATAAGACCTAGTGATGGGCGAGGCTATGCAGATACGTATGCATTTTGGCTCAGAGAGAAGACATCCCCTGAAAATGTGTGTCAAGTCTTGAGAAAAGGCTCGGCGCCTATGGCTCAACCGGCTAAGGCGCCAGCCACGTACACCTAAGGTGGCGGGTTCGAATCCCCAGCCCGGACCCGCCAAACAACGATAGCTGCAACCAAAAAATAGCCGGGCGTTGTGGTGGGTGCCTGTGGTCCCAGCTACTTGGGAGG